GTGTGTGTGAATGTGTGTGTGAATGTGTGTGTGAATGTGTGTGTGAATGTCTGTAGTGTGAAGCGCTTTGAGTGTCCTGGATGGATAGAAAGGCACTATATAAGTACAGTCCATTTAACATTTAAAAGAGTCGATCATCAGATATTGTCCAAGATTAACCTTCAGGGTGGATATAGCTCGCTAGCAGCCTCGCACCGAGGACCTATCCACGTCATCAATTACCCAGAATGCTTTGTGTGTAAATAAAATGGCCCTGTCCATGTAATATATTTTAAAAAATTTACAAACCTAAACAGCCTACAGTATTTTTACAGTTATTATTTTACAGGTAAAATAAATGGTTATCAAATAAAGTACAATGTTACAACTAATCAGGGATTCCTTTAATGTGGTCTCATAAGTCCAGATTTACCCTGTTCTGGTCAGACTCTACCATCATCAATGAAAGATCTTGGTGAAAACAATGCCACAGAGAACGTGTGCCGTAAACAAAGCTAAAGACGGTCCAATGAAATATTAGTGTGTGACCTATTTTATGGTGGCAACATTTTTTTGGCCAGGCAGGGTATCTCAATAACCAGTGGACAGATTTTTTTGAATGTACCTCTACAGCTCATTGACATTTGGAGCCAGTCAAATTCAAGATGACTGCCACATTAGCAAAAGGGCCTGTCTGTAAATTACACAGATTTACCTGCATTCTGCATGAATACAGATGTTTAGGGCAATCTTACAGATTAAGAAACAAACTTTGTCTCAAATTTATTAAAGTCTCAGAGGCAGTAAGGTGCAAGGAACACGGTGTGAGAGTACTAAGATCATTTCTGTGGGTTAAAATACAAATAAATGTCCAAAGGGGTTGAGGACATCTCATGATTTTCCATGAGACTGGACCAAACTGGCCACAGCTCAGTCATTTTTCAGCATAGTTTTTAAATATGAAACGTGTTATGAAATATGTTTTCTGCTGCAGTTCTCAGATAAATATTAAGACAAGGACTCTGACCCGGACCAAACGGGTTTGTCTCTGGGTGACTGAGATGTGTGAGGTGGCGTCTCACCTCCAGCACAGGGTTGGACTGCAGCAGGCGGTCTTTGATGGTCTGCACGTGCTCACTGGCTGGACAGGTGAAGGCGTAGTACTGCAGGATCTTCTTGGATGCCTCGGTCTTCCCGGCGCCGCTCTCCCCTGAGATCAGGATGCACTGGTCTTTCCTCTCTGTCCTCATGGAGCGGTACGCGTTGTCTGCCACAGCATAGCTGCAGGAGTGGAGAGAGACACATGTTGATCTGAATGTCTCACATAATGGATGAAAAGGAATGTCTACCAATGAAATGAAGTACTGACTTAAATAATACTATATTACGTAAGTATCATCAAGTGAAACAATATATTTAGTATAAGAAACATTTGAGATTTTTTTTACTACTGTGCAGTCTGTGGGCTTGTGTTGTGAAACTTAAGTTCAGAACAAAAGAAAAATAAATGTATTACAGATTGAATTAAAGTTTTTTTATTTAGAACTGCTCAGATCTGACTGAGTTTTTCGCACATCTAAAAAACAAAACAAAACAAAAACTAGTATTACACAGAGTTAAATAAAATTATATCTTAAACTTTAAAACCACAACCTTCATGTAAGTAACTTGTTAAATCGTTGATCACAGCCTTTTAAAATATAAATAAAAATGTTGGTTCAATGAATTTGTTCAAGTGAATGATAAAAAGATGTTTGTTAAAGAAATATGAAATTATATAATGTTTATCAAAAGTTGTTGTTTGAAAAGGAATTGAATGTCCTGATGCATCTCAGTAATCCAGGTAAAAAATCAAAAAGTAAAAATTGTATAGGTCTTCTGGACGGGTTCTTCTCTAATGAAACATTTCGTCTCTCCTCCAAGAGACTTCTTCAGTCTGAGAGTTTCAGGCAAAATTCAGGCTTTTAAGCACTGCCTCCATGTGACTGATACTCACATTACATGGCTATCGTTGACACCTAATTAACACTTATGTTCTCATTCTTGATAGAGAGGAACGTTGGTTTGAGAG